TTTGCGAGATAACGACGACTTGCGAACAGAGTCGTTATATTTCACTGTCATACTTTTTTGCACCAAATGTAAGACTTTGTACTTCAGCTACAAATCATATTGTTAGAAACTTGTTTCAAGGTATATATTTAACAAGAATTTACGAGACTGGGCTAAGAACATTATAAGAATGAAGAATTGAAGATGAAACTGGTGGGTTAAACCCAAAGTAAGATCCCTGATAGCTCGGAAACCGTGTAAGAGCTATGCTACTCAGTTCGCACACTACCAAAATATTTTTCTTAAAAAACCAACCAATTAAAACATTCCCATTTGAATATCTAAATAAGGGACATGTCGCATTAATCAATGGACTTAAAACCATAAACATATTAAATAAAGGAATGGACATAAAACCATAAACATATTGAATAAAGGAATGGACATAAAACTATAAACATATTGAATAAAGGAATGGACATAAAACTATACACATATTGAATAAAGGAATGGACATAAAACTATAAACATATTAAATAAAGGAATGGACATAAAACCATAAACATATTAAATAAAGGAACTGAGTACATCACTACAAATTCCTCATTGAAGACAGATGCATACAACATGTTGCAAACTCTTATATAATTACATTGCATGGGAGGAATATCAAACCGCCTGCATGTCATTATTATTATCTCAGTTTTTACTTTCCATAATCACACGATTCCTATTGTAATATACTATCTGATCTTAAGTTACTAGTTCTACAACCACAGTTCTTCTACATTTCAAGTTGTTATTTTGTATTCTACGGTATTGATTCGTTATGTTGTATATCTATAACTTCGCTAACTTTGGCTTTAACGTTTTGTGGACTTACTGTTTTTGAAATCATCTGACACAAATCGCCCGTAAACACCAAGAAATTCAGAAACAAATTTTCACAAAATAAGCCGATATATTTAATTGGATGGATGCACCAACAACCTATAAAACTGCAGAAGCACAAATTATTGAAAACAATACATAAAATTATTTCAGTAAGATTCATAATGATTTTTTTCTTGTAGAACTTTTTCAAAAATAAAAAAAAAGGCTGAGAGGAAAAAACATCAATGATATGAAATGTAAAAATAATCAGTTATCCAGTTTAAAACCTTACGTGATCATTATTGAGACAAAGCATCAGAATTATGTAGCTATAAGCTCTTTATTTTATCAAGGCTGAAGACCGTACTTTGACTTATAATGGTTTACTTTTATAAATTTTGACTTGGATGGAGAGTTGTCTCATTGGCACTCATACCACATCTTCTTATATCTATATATGATATAATAATAACATGTTATCATATACATGACCACACCAACAAAAATAAATAGAATGTTTGTTTGCCAGGCCAAGTCTTTTTGTGTATGAGATAGTCTCGTTAAATTATTTCGTTGTGACCTGGTGCATGCTGAGGTCAAATGACTTGCTTTTCAGAGCAGGCAAATGTATAATTTGAAGTTAACTTCTAAATTAAAACAACAGAACATACATGTATGATATACCACTATGTAACAAGAATGTGATCAATTGGTATCATTTCCTCGTTCGCCAGTAATGTGAGAGATTAAAAAAATATTGATTAAATAAATTTTCATTCATTTTATAAAACTTACTATAGTAAGTATGATCATTTTATCCGTAAATACTCCAAAAGTCCATGTCATGTTTATCATTGTTTGTTCTTTGTATTCACTATCATCCATCGTTTTTTGTATTCAATATCATCCATCTAGACAGATAAACTTTTTAATATAATTATGATTTCACAACCCCCCCTCCCCCCCCCCTCCCCCAATATAATATTTGAAAATTTTAAACGGTGAAGAATTATAACGTCATGCAAGATATCGATTTCCAATTGCAGCAGCACGACACTAGTTTCTGGAAGAACCTTCTCCGTTTACGCTAGAAAGAAAAGTTTGGAAAGCCAAAAATATATTTCAATGTTTTTAAAGGTTGAAAAACTATCTCAGACTCCTGCAACTGGATATTTCAAATTGATTGATTGATCAGTTGCTGAATTGCAAAGGAGGCATTATGTTAGTAGCAAATTGGCACAAGGAATTGCAAAAAAAAGTAAAATTATCAAATCCGTTTAATATCATGTTGATGGATTGGCAAATGTTTCATGCATATTCAGGATGAAAACAAATCGATATTTAATCTACAAGGTAAGTTCTGCAAATTACGTCATTCGTAACAAATGGTCTCACGAGACGTAGGATTTAATGTCCCCATCTTTACCGGACGTGTCTGTATACTTTTACATGATTCACAGCCATCCTCAATGACCATATATATCTCTGTCCTATACACCAGTCAACCCTTGGGGTTATCCTAATAATTGAATAGAATGATATAATCTGACCACTTGAGTGCAGAAATGTCCGTAGAGATGTCATTATGGCGTCATAACCATGATTGTATTAATCAACGCATTTGTATTGAAATGACTATTTAGACTTACTTTTTGACAACATTAATTATGAACAAACGTCTTACACTTTTACAACATCTAAATGTAAGATATCTTGTAACAAAAAAGCTATTTGACTTCAGCTGTTTCTCATATATAAATATTAATGGCAGTTGCAAGATCTTAAAATGAGGCTATTTTGGCAGTGATTCTTAAATATAAAATGTATAAAGGACTAGGGCAAATATTAAAGACAAAATTTATAAATATACATTGACAAACTGATATTTTATAGACATATACCTTGTGATCATCGGAAGAATTGTACTCGATATATGTGATAGTACATTATATTTTGAATTCAAAGGGGCCAATTATTGGTCCCGTGACACATTCTCTTTTTTCTAAATGTGTAAGTCCAGTCCAATAATTATTCAATCGATGTTGACTTATAAACGGTATAGTTGAGGTAGGGCATGCTCAGTATATTGCTGGTATTAAAATCAATCTTAAAATGTAAAAATACGAAGATATGGTATGATTGCTATTAAGAAAACTATCCACCAAAGACCAAAGGCCTTCAACAATGAACAAAACTCATACCGTGTGGCAAGCTATAATACAAGCCACCGGCATGACAAAATGTGAAGCAATTTAAAAAAGAAAACCAACGGCCTGATTTGGCTTGTCACTTGCTTATTTATAAGAAACTTTAAAATATGTAAATGTTCCAAATAATTAGATAACTTTATTCTTTTATTCTTTGTTCTTATGTTGTGCTGTTACAACACTGTCCTAAGTTGGGAAGGGTTGGGCGCCCAAAAACAAGTTTAACTCCGTCACATTTTGTATGTGCCTGTCCCATATCAGTAGCATGTAATTCATTGGTTGTCGTTTTTTTGTTATATATTATATTTGTTATTCGTTTTGTACCTAAATAAGACCGTTAGTTTTCTCCTTTGAATAGTCTTACATCTGTCCTGTCGGGGGCTTTTATAGCTTTCTAGTGGCGGTATGGGTTTTGCTCTTTGTTGTAGGCAAGACCGTATATAAGGTGACCTATAGTTGCTTACTTCTACGTCATTTGGTCCCTAGTTTAAAGTTGTCTCATTGACAATCACAAGTACATCTTCTTATCTTTACATTTACACTTGCTAAAGCTTAAGACCATTTTCATGAAGAACTATTGAAACATTAATGTACTCGGGTGTACAAATATGAAATATTAAACCATTAGAAGTAAAGATAATACAAATAGTTGTTACAGTATTCTGTTATAATTTCTTTTTTATGATTGGCTTTTAAATATTGGGTGTGTGCATGATTGTATAGAAGCATTTCGTGTTATTGAAAATATGAAGATGGAGTTATTTTTACATTATTATATCCTTTTAGTGTACCTTATGTTGTATACCATATGTACTTTTCACTTATGCTGAGGATTTCAGGAAGATTATCTTTGTCAATGATGTTATCCTCTTGTAATAAAGATTGTATTATTTATTAATAATAATTTCTCATGATGGTGAAAATATGTTTTTATCTCGCTATGCGTTTTATTTCCAAGCTTTGCAAACTAAAACGTTAATGAATACTAGCACGATTTTTGACGATTTGATATTTTAGCGCCAAGCTTCACATATTACATACATAGTCAGACCATATGGATGCGATAAATTAATATAATACCCTACCGAATGACAGAGAAAGATGTTTTAACATACTTATATGGCAAAAGTCAATAAGAAACAATGTTATCCGCCACGCACAAATTATTTTCACTCCGTTTCAATAAATTTACGTCTATACGCATGTGCTTATTTGACACGCATTAAACATGTCAGCTGTACTATGTACAATTTGTGAAAGAGTGCGAGTTTTTACATGACCAATGTTTAGTGCCTACGTGGAATACTCTACACCAATATGTTGTTTACTTTTTTGTCTGGGTTTTCTTTTGTCAAGACTTAATTGTTCACGCTTTGCCATCATATGCTTACGTGTGTTCTTACAGGATGCTTTTCCATACACGCTTATATAAAATATATCCCATAATATATATATATATAAAAAGACAAATAGTATTTCTTAACGATGCTCTATTGCATGGTCAGTAGTCGGTTATCCTCAAAGTGCGTTTGGTCTAAGATATTTCTTACCATCATTTAAGAAATTTACAGTCTTAATTATTGAATGGTATTTAATGCATACATTTTGTTTTTCAATGTTTAAATGGTGATTATTAATTGAATTACATGATTTGCAATCAAAGGAAGAAGTGCAACTAACGGCCCACAGTGATGTTTGTTTTTCTTCAAGAAGTGAGAAAATATACTAGGGTACTTAATGTTTACACAAAGAATATCACAAGTCTAAACAGTAATTACAAGCATGCAACTGACATTGCACACTCGAAGTGGTAACTTTATTAATTATCGAGAATAGTTTCATGATAATTTACCTCAAGTACCTACAAATCGTTAGACGACAAATCAATACTAACCAATCAGGTGTGACGTTACAAATCGGTATACCAAAGATGGCATCAAATATGTTAAGATAAGAAAGTACCGATCTTATTACCAAAAAGCAAGGCCATCATTGGTCCAACTGATAATAATCTGTCATAGCATTTAAGCCACCAGTACCTTGAGGGTCACTAGTCAGTTTCCATCGACAAGTAAAGGTCACCTCATTCATCTGACATTAGGACTTATCTACATCCACACGGTAAGAATGCTATACTCTACTAGTGTCTTATAGTAAGTGATGCATATAAGGCTGCCAACGTATTGCTTTGCTTAAGCTTTCATTTAATTTTTCATAATCCATTTTAGCTTGATAGCGTGTGGAAAAATTAAGAGACAATAGAGAAATATATATGCGTATAATATTTAACATGAATTAGCTTTTGCAAAGATGCATGGTTTCTGTAATATAAACATATTACATGCATTTACACTGTAATTTATTATATGCATTAATACAGTTTAATTGTTAGACTTATTCTTATATATTAGTAATTGATTGGCTGTTTATGCATGTATGCTTTTTTCGCTCTTTAAATTTTTAGTCTTTGGCATGTTAACCCATGTACCCAGAATTATTATAGTTGTTAATTTATATTTCTCCATATTCATTTCCATAACGTTTTGTCATTTTTCTTGTAAACACTGATGCCATATCATTTGCTCCACAATGCTCACTCATCAACTTTTATTCTATAACAACAATTTGATATAATGCAAACGTTAAGTCTCTTCTCTAAGTATATACAGATGAAACTTTTGAAATCAACAGGTTAAGGTTGAAGTGTTTCTTAAGTATCACAAAGATCCCTTCACTGTAAAAAAAAGTTAAACAATTATATATATATTACCGACTATTCGTTTGTATTAAGAAGGAATTCAGTTTTTAAAGAAGGAAGGTAAAATGATCAGGGGAATTATTAGTTAACAGTCCGCATAAATCTTTACCGACGTGTTGGTTAAATAACCGACAGTGAAAAAAATGAATAGGAAACTGTGAATACAAAACCATGGCGTAATGCAAATTATGAATAAAATCATTATATATTCTGAACGATTCCGACAGATCTCTTATTTTTTTTTTATGTCAGCGCATAATGATGTAATAGGACAGGCTAAAAGCACAATGCCGTGTCATTAAAAATCCAGTGTTTTTTTTTTTACAAAGGGGTTATTAGGTTAAGGCTTGATAGCGATTCCAATTCAGTACCGCATAGATCATCTTAAATGGACATAGCAATCAAGAGATCCTCACGTGTTAAGTATTAACGAGATATTATGAAAATCATTCAGTTTATGTGCCAAAGCATATCTTCTAATTAGATACGTGTGATGTTAATTAGTATTATAATTCAGTTATATGGTTAACTCGCACTTATTGGCACATGGTATTAGTTTTCTTAATAAATTACACCTCAAACTTGTTGAACGTCTGCCATTAAGAAGAAATGATAATACATAAACAAAGTAATTAACTGTAACAAAAAAAGGAAGATGAAATACAATTTTACAACTTAAAATCAGCTGCATCAAATAAATGATACCTTTTGATATTGAGAATATTTCTTTGTACGCATGGCAGGTTATGACAGGTATAAACTAATATGCATTTATTCGACACAGTAGTTATATGTTGACATGAATTATCATTGATATGGTCATTATTATAAATTAACTGTTTATAAAACTTTGAATTTTCCAAATATTAAGAATTTTCTACCCTAGGAATAGATCACCTTAGCAGTCTTTGTCAAAACCTATCGGAATTTTGGGTCCCCTCGAACTTTATTTTACCTTTTTTACTTTCTTGATTTTAGCGTCACTGATGGGTCTTTTCTAGACGAAATGCACGCCTTGCATACAACATTTTAAGCCTGGTATCTATGAGGAGTTTATTCTAAGAGTTTCTGTCATAATCTGTTTGAAATATTGATAAAAACATATATTTGATATTTTAATTTCCAGTTTAACTCTGCAATAATTAAAAAAAAAAAGAATTGAATATATAAATCAATCTCTCACGCTGTTGCATTCGCCGATTGATATTGCACGATAGATGCTTATATATGTATAAAGTAGGCCACGAAATTTTAAAGGTTTAGTAATAGATCGTGCGCTTTACGCTTTTATATGTGTTTTGGAGTAGATTTTGTAGTCCGTTATTGATTTTCCTTTTTTATGTTTTGGCATAAGGTTATAAGACTTACCTTCAGACACGATAAACGATAAAACCCGGACATTTGAAAGCCAAGAATGTACAAGACCTATACACTTTAAGAGCTATATGAACAAAAGGAACCTAAAACATGGCCAAATTCACCAAGGTCAACTTTGCCTGTGGGAGTTGGAACCTCAATTTCTTGATAACTTCGTAATTTATCAACAGACAATTTAAGAGAAAACTTATGTCAGTACCGAAACACTGACCAATTAGTTGGTGAGATTCGCTAATTTAGGAGCTATTTGGTATTTCAAATTATAGTAATTAGATAGACTAAGTTGATAAATTGTATTGAAACTCCTTTTACATTAACTATGAAATATATTTTACCTACGTGAAAAAGGAAGAAAATGTAGTCTTACGTATGCAAACTAAACTAGATAACTATCGAGGGGGGGGGGGGAATTGAAATTCAGTTGAACCGGTTTGGCCAGTCTGGGCATTGCACATTGTATGCGTGAGATCTCATATGAAAAACAGGTTTAAACTACTTTTGCACTTAAGCTCGCCACATGTTCATGTTGCTATCACAAGTTAATACCACCGTCAATGGTTATCTTCGTTTTTTGGGATATGCAATCAAAACTTTTATGCTACTGGCTTGATATCTGTATCTATCAGGATTTATCACCACCTTTGATTTCTAGTTAAAACAACATAGTGCAGTGAGGTGAACATTCTTTAGGTCCTATCCAGCCAATGTCATGCAATTTCTTAATGATTTCTTATACTCAGATATTCAAGTTACAAAATGGTGTGTTTTTTGAATAACCTTAATTCAAAAACTATTTGATTAAAAATTTCATAAGTTGTGCATGGCGTATGAATCTATCTTCAATTACAAATGTACATTTATGAACAAAGAGCAAAAAAATCCAATTCAAAATATACGATTTGCCTAAATGAGTTCCATTGCTTAATACAAGTCAATATTTGATTTTAAGTTCATATTGGAAAATGAAAGCAATCTTTGTCCTTGAGTGCCCAAAAGCATTTTATTTATTTATTTTTTATTAGGATAATTTGGTGTTGGTGCGTGATCTTTGATACTTTGTTTTTAATTTTTTCACTGTTTTTTACTTGGGGTGATTCATGGATAATATATTGTATAGATACCTATTGTTTGTTTAAGACTATGTAAGCGTCTAGATGTATTTTTGGTTATTTGTGTCGTTAGGTTGAATTCATATAAATCGCAGTAAAAGAACGGGAAGCGTGCAGTTTGATATTCCAAAAAGAACACTGTACCTTTCGATTGTTCTATTGAAATGTTAACTTATTTTTACGCTTGAACGTCCAGTAGCTTCAATAGAATGCATATTTAGGACAAAGCAAACTAACAGCTCTAGTGTTATTAAACATCATTTCATGTGCATGTCACCCCTTTCTGTCTCGCGTGACCTTTCTTTTCTTCCTTCGTTTCACTGTTTCCAGTCCGAAACCAATACAGCCACAGGAAATACAAAGATACATGTACTATTTATTTCATAGTTTACATCATAAAATATTTCAGACTAAAATGGATTACCTCAATCAAAAATGGAAACTTTGGTACAAGTCATTAGATGTCAACCATGATGGTACAATCTCCATGGCTGACGTAGAGGAATCTCGTAGTAAATTTACAAACCTTCATCATCTTCTTGGTGACAAAGCTGAATCAGTAAGAGCCGACATGGAAAAATGGTGGAATACATATATCCTGAAAAACCCAACGAAAGAAGTATCCGAATCTGATTTTTTGGCAGATCTTTCTGGACAGTATACAAAGGATAAAGCTGCTTTTGTGAGCACAATTTCCAAATGTTTTAACGAAATATTCGACGTTATTGATACAAATAAAGATAGATCAATTGAAGCTGACGAATTCGTGATAGCTTTTCAAGCTTTTGGACATGAAAACGAGCCTGTAGTAAGAAAAGCATTTGAGCTGATGGGTCCCAAGGATGGTCTCATTCCTCTCCGGGATATTGTTAATGCCTGGATAGCATTTGTAACGTCAGATGATGCTAGCAAGCCTGATCCCGTTAAACAGGCTTTCGAAACAGGATTTTAAAAACTACAAACATTATTTTTACCTTAATGTTCTACCATGTGATCTACCTCACCGGTGAAAACCATTTAATTAATTATGCCATTTTAACTTAAGGAGCGCTCCATGAAATATGTCTTCCTTGGAATTACAGTTGTGGAGGTATCATGAAAGAATGAAACGTGACGTCACATTGCAAACTACTAAATATGTTCAATGCATTAACATGTTAATAAAAGCCTTGATAAAAAATGTCGTTTTTAAATCATTAATACATAGATGTTTAACTTTGGATAAGTTCATATCTGTTCTATCTGTCTTTATGGAAACATCTTTTGCAAATTCGTTTGTTTTATATATATCTTTTTCAAAAGCTCTAAAGGGCTAATGTATGCTTTTACCGACTTTAAATAATTTTTATTTGATACACACATTAACAAAATGATTTATATAACACTAAAAACCAAAGATTACTGCGTTTAAAACAAATCTTCGCCTTATTCTGTAAATAACATATGTTTCTTATAGGGTAAACGCCTATCATTCACAATGCATTTATAAATATATAGCATGGCTTACTCTATTATGCATTCGTTTTGCTTAACGCATGTATATATACGCTTTGAGATGAAATGAATATTATATCATATCAGTAGTAAATGGATTGTGGTGTAATAATATTTCAGACATTGATGAAGGACAGACTTTTTGGTGGTAAATTCTTTAATTACACAAGTTTACTCCAACTTTATCCTTTTTATAGTTAGTTACAATCAAATGAGTTTGTCAGTATAGTGCCAATTTTCATTTTAGACTCAATTGGCCCTATGAACCATGTGAGCTATTGCCATCAGTTGGCTTCTGTTGTCGTAAACATTTCAAAAGTCATATCCTCTGAATTTAAACAAAAATTTGGCTGAACAATCTTTGAGGATATCCAGTATAATGG